CAGATCGTTATTAATTAAGAAAGAATAAGACGGAACGTTACGTGCACGAACTTCCCGGTACTGGTGATTTGTTTCTGTGTTGGTTTTTAACTCATTTTTGTTAGGTGCGGTTATCGGGTCTTTATAAAGTGTAGTGTGTATGTGCGCGCGCGCCTGTACATGTGTGTGTGTGTGTGTGCGCGCGCGCGTCGGGCGCCTTTGCTTTATTGACGAACGTCTGTGGTTATGTTTTTTTTTTGTTTCGTGTTATAAAGTTAAGTGCATTGGTAGAGGTTGAAGACCGCGACGCGCGTAGATAGAGGAAAATGGACACCGCCATCTTATAGAGCGGGAAAAATAGAAGGGGATAGCGTATAGTTTAAGATGCACCGGCCTTATAGTCACCGCTAAATGACGAAAATATAACGCGCGGACGCCTTTCAAAATCAAAGTCGATGACCTTGTTTACCTTGCTAGGAAAAACACGACACTGACCCACGAACGCATTTTTGGGACAATATGCAGTATAAGGTAGTGCCTAAGTTGGGAGATAAAACCTATATAAATCGATAGACCGATACAAACTAAGACACTTTTCTTCTATGGCAATATTTGTGCAAATGCTTCCCAAAGGTGCTATACGTAAATGAACAGAGGTGAGGGCCCAATTTTGCTTAAGTCCATCATCATCTTTTCATGACGAAAGTAAACATTGGACTGGACGCAGAACCGATTACTGCGCTGTTCAGACTAGTGCATGTATTGCTGCGCGATTGTGAAAAGGATATTTTGCTAATCATCAGTGTCTGCCGTTCCATATTTATGCTTTCAAACACCTTTATTAATGTTTTTATACCTCATTTACGTGTTTTAAGATTGATTATACAGGTTTTAACGGGAATCGGTCTGAAGGACCTTCTGCGCATACATATTTTCGCGTTTCTCGCCGCCAGTTTTGACAGGTGGATTCGCGGATAGTCGGTGACAGAGAGCCGGTAAGAAATGTTTTGTTTTCGGTGTTGCGTCGATTCTAGGTTATTCCTAAGACTATGCAGTGGCAACGAAGAAGAAAAAGACCTCAATAACTATCGCAGTTCCATTTCTGAGGGCATCAAGTACCCCAAATCCCGAAAAAAGCGATAAAAACGAAGCGACCCACGATCCACGACCGACCGAAAGAAGCGAAGGAAAATTGACAGTTCTGTCTTTCGATATATAAAGGTATTTGGTTTATTGTTTACAGTATGGATGCAGCTCTATCTTGCCGTACATACCGAGGTGAAGAGAATGTGTCCCGGGGGTGTTGGGGGCTTGCCCCCCATCAACCCTCCCCTCGGGCAGTGCCCGAAGGGCACGCCTAGTCACGGCACCGTAAATTGCTAGGTTAGGTTGGGTTATGGGTTAGGACGTTTTTTGATGCTTGAAAAGTGTGTAATCCCGTTGATTTTACCGAAAGATGCGTTGTATTCCCGTAGAGTTTTTCGAATTTTGGCGCGCCGGTGCGTAGACTTTCAACGATGGCGGTTACATCCGTAGAGTTTCATTGGCCGATTTTAAGCGCTTTTTGTGCTAGTTTTACGCATTTTTTATCGTTATTCTTCTTATTTAAGCTTGTTTTACCCCATAATTTCATGCCCTCCCCTACTAACGGGACTGACAAATTAAGATTGTCGATGGAAGTGGTACTCAGATCTCATCAACGAAGCATTTGCACAAGAAACAACATCAAGAATCGTTGAAATCAGTAGATTTCATGCAGATAAATATCAAAATTAGTTCGAAAGTAAGCCCCCACCCTGTTATGCATATTGACCCATTTTTGCGTTCGCGAACTAGTCCGTGTATCATTACACGCTTGTCAAAACGATATTTGGCTAATTATCTGTGTCTGCTGGTACGCATTTATACCTTTAAAGTCTTTTAGTAATGTTATTATACTTCAATTGCATATTTTTATATTTATCTATACCCTCATATCGAATCCTGCGCATCGAGTGTTTCACACTTTCTTGCGCCAGCCACAGGTTGACAGCTCACCATACCGCTCATTTCGAGATTGAAAGCCGGTGAGAAATGTTGCGTTTCCAGTGTTGTGTTGATTCTGGGTTCTTTTTAAGACCTTTACAGTGGCATCGAAGAATAATTCGACTTCAATAACCATCCCAGTTTTATATCTGAGCCCATCAAGAGCTCCAAAGGACGAAAAAGGTGATTAAAATCGAAGCAATACCAACAGTACAAAGAAACGAAAGTTTCACGTTTCCGGATATAAAGGTATTTGGTTTATTATTTTACGGTGTGATTGCAGCTCTGTCTTGCCGTACATACCGTGGTGGAGAGAATGTGTCCTGGGGGGGTGTTGGGGGGCTTGCCCCCCATCAACCCTCCCCTCGGGCACGCCTAGTCACGGCAATTTATATTGATATATTAGGTTGGTTTATTGGTCAATACGTTTTTGGGGGTTGGAACGTGTGAATTCCCGTAGAGTTTTTGCCGAAATGTGGGTTGGGTTCCCGTAGAGTTTTTGATTTATTTCGCGTCAGTCCGTAGACTTTCAAAGATGGCGGTTACACCCGTAGTTTCATTGGCCGATTTTAAGCGCTTTTTGTGCTAGTTTTACGCATTTTTGATCGTTATTCTTATTTAAGCTTGTTTTACCCCATAATTTCCCTGATATACTTCATGCCCTCCCCTGCTAATGGGACTATCAAATCAAGATCGTCGATGGAGAAATGGTACTCGATCTCCTGAACGATTCATTCGCAAAAGAAACAACGCCGAAAATCGATGAAATCATAGGATTTCATGCAGAAAACATAATTATTTTCGACTTAGTCTCTGCGGGGGTGCGTCGCGGTCTTCAACAATTACCAAAGATCTAGAGAGGCTCAACGTTGAACATTCAAATAACTAAAGATTATTCCCCTCTCAAATGGTAGCAGAGCGTGGTTCCCCAAATCACTCAGAATAATAATCGGGACGAAAGGCGACGATCATGGCGGTGTCGGAAGAACACGTCTGTGCAATGCTTGGGATGATTATCATTTTACTAACTCTGTTAATTACTTTCTTCGTATATATATAGAGATAAAAGCGAGTAAATCGATCAGGGGATGCACTAGTCCGATTGCTAGAAATGCGAGTTTCATGGGAGAAATACCGAGTGCGAATTCAAGGGTGATCGTGACGCTTTGGATAGAACATTGAGCGCCTTGGAAGATTTAGTTACATCTCACTGTAGACATATTAGAAAACCTCTGTTGGTTAAAAATGACCCCAAATTAGACGTTTTTAACGGAAAGGGAATGGTGCGCAGTTGGATCAGAAAGGCGGAGAGAATATTAGCACAGATGCCAGGTGAAGACGAAGATAAGGTACGGTATATCTTAAATCACATCGACGGGGCGGCAGCATATAGACTTTATAATTGCGGCGCTGAGTGGAAGAGCATGCGCGAGATATTTGGAGAACTAATGAAGGTTTACGGGAAGAAAACATCGGTTTGGGAACTATACGAACGAATGGCAGCAAAACAATGTGATGAGACTGTGTGGGTGTTCTTAGATGTGATACTGGAGATTTGATTCAACAACAGGGGAGCCAAATCGACAAAAAATTGATTGGAGAATGCATGGCTAGGAATATAGAGAAACCGATAATTGGGATGAAGATGAAAAATAGGATGGATGAAAGGCCGGAAGATAGTCTGGAGCAATGGGTGGAATGGATTGCGACTAAAGAACAAGAGTGGAAGAGTGGAAGTGTTTTACCGAGGGTAGAGAAGTAAGAGAAAGGGACGAAGAAAATAAAGATGAGAGGATAAGATGCTATAATAGTGGAGAGAGAGGTCATCTGTCACGTTCGAACGAAAGATATCAACGTAAGAGAAATAAAAGTGGCGAAAGGAATTGGCGACCGTCTGGAATAGAAAGCGAGGCCGGTAACAAATATAAATCGCAAGCGGGAAACTTGGAAGGCCCTGCGGAGATGTAAACCGCCGTCCACAGGAGCATTATAAACATGTTAAGATGAAAGGTGGGGAAGTTCATTCACTTTTGACAGATAGAGGGGAGACTAGAGGAATGAAGCTGCATTCGGATAGCCCAAAACTGTCGGTTAAAATGGGAGGAGTAGACGTGATCAGCGTGTGCGACACGATCAGAAGTTTCGATGATTAGCTCAGAAATATATAATCGCTACCTCAAACCAAAAGGAGTGCGACTGCATCCCACAAAGGTGAAAATTAGGTCGGTAGGAGGGCGGCTAGTGCCGTGTCGCGGATGTATAGCAGTGGACGTAGTAGCATGTGGAAGTACGATCAAAGATGTGGGTGATAGTCTGTGACGAAGTTGGGCAGACGTATAGTTGCCTTTTGGGGATGAATGTGTTGGCGGAAGTGGCTGAAGTATGGCCAGAAATGTATAGATTAAGTCGGGTTAGAGTAGAAGACCGTGAAAGAAAAGAGAATAGGAAAGATGTCAGACATGCGTGCAAGTCAGATAAAGAAGAAAATTGGGGATTCGTTCTCACCGGTAAATCACAGATACCAATCATCCCCCCCAGAAGTACGAGACTGATACCAGTTTGGATTCCATCGTTACGACAGTCGAAAATACAAGAGGCTGTGATTGAGCCCCTTGTAGGCCCTGGGGGAGGTTGGGTGCCAGAGGGCATAATTGTTCTTCCCACTGTTGTCATGGTAAAACATGGGGGAAGTTATGCACTAGTTGGTAATTTATCGGATAAAGCATGCAAATTACGTAGGAGGTGGAGAATTGGGAAAGCGTCAAATAGTAAAGAAGTTGAGATGCTTACGGAAAGCCAATCGAGAGCAGTAAAGCAGGATGAGTCAGTCAATTGATATTCGTGAGGAAAATTTAAATGCTGAGCAGCTAAATCAACTACGTGCATTGTTGAAAGATTACAAAGACATTTTTGCAGATGAGCAGTCACCAATCGGGAGAGCGACGGGTATTCAGCATGTAGTCCCCCTGACCACTGACCAACCAATTAGGGTTCCTTACCGGCGTATTCCACCCAATCAGATACCCGAAGTGAAAGATCATATAGACGAACTACTTGCGCAAGGCGTAATCTCCCCCAGTTCCAGTCCTTACGCAGCTGCCATTGTTATAGTAAGAAATAAGAATAAAAGTCTGAGATTATGCATAGCCTATCGAAAGCTAAACAAATTCACAGTACGTGATGCTTTTCCGATTCCCCGTATTGATGAATCAGTGGAACCATTAGCGGGAGCAAAATATTTCTCCACATTTGATCTAGCTGCTGGTTATCACCAGATAGACGTTCATCCACGTGATCGCCAAAAGACTGCGTTTAGTACATCGTTTGGCCATTTTGAATATAATCGCCTCCCTATGGGATTATCAAACAGTCAGAGTACATTCCAGCGCTCTAAATGTCAAGAATCCTTTGACAAGTTGAAAGTGGTGGTCACTACGGGTACTTCAGTGCCCAGACTTCGAGAAGGAATTTATCTTAGAAACCGATGCAAGTTTCCAAGGTTTAAGAGCTGTACTTTCGCAAAAAGACGAACATGGGAAGATTCATCCAGTTTGCTATGCGAGTAGGGGGCTACGGCGTTCAGAGAAGAACATGGCTAATTATAGTTCCCGAAAACTAGAATTACTTGCACTCAAATGGGCCGTGACTAATAAATTTCATAATTATTTGGCAGGGAGACATTTTACTGTATATACGGATAATTCACCCCTAAGTCATTTAGAAACTGCGAGGTTAGGGGCGATAGAAAGTAGATGGTGTAATGACCTCCAACAGTTTAACTATACAATTAAATATAAGGCGGGGAAAGATATACTATAGCAGATGAGCTCTCAAAATTACCGCAAGAGACGGAGGTTAGTGATACCGACGAAGAATATACAGTAATGTCTGTCGGGAGAGATGAGATGGCAAACGAACTTTGGTCACAAAACGAACTTAAAAACCAACAGGAGGAAATGAGTTGTTTTGAAGGAATACGAAAGTTTCTCAGCGGAGAATTAGCAGACAAAGACAAAGAGAAATGGCTTTGTGAAGACTAGGAAATTGTATCGCGCGCGGGCGAATTTAATAGACAGAGACGGTGTAATTCATCATCGGGTGAATGTAGGCATCAATACGTGGTGGGTTACACCAGTCCTTCCTCCAAAATTGCAAGCAAGATTAATACAGTCTGGCTATGGTAAAAAATAGAGGATTCTGGCCGGGGATGGCATCGTCAGTCGGAGAATACCTTTCGAAATGCAAGAAGTGTAAAGTAGGAAAGGATGAATTTCCGAAGGCACGGCCATTCATGGGGACAATCGAAGCGAACAAACCATGGGAATTACTTGCCATGGACTTCACATTACTCGACAAAGAATGGGTGTAGAAAACGTCCTGGTGGTGACCGATGTGTTCACGCGATATACTTTCGCATTCCCGACGAAAGATCAGAAAGCGAGTACCGTAGCTAAACTTTTAAAAGATAATATTTTTGATAAGTTTGGGCCGCCAGAGAGACTTCTTTCAGACCAAGGTAGGAACTTTTGCAGTTCACTAATCCAACGATTGTGTCAGTATTATGGGATTGAGATCAGAACCACTGCGTATCACCCTCAAGGGAATGGTGTCTGTGAACGTTTCAATCGAACTCTACATGACCTGTTAGTCACCTTGGACGAAAGGGCTAAAAAGAGATGGCCTGAACACGTGTCGGGCCTCGTGTCAATATATAACGCGACGCCTCATGCTTCCACAGGGTATTCTCCCTTTCATATGTTGTTTGGTAGGGAGCCTAAACTTCGAGAGATCCGAGATGTTAGTTCGGAGGAAACCACGGTAGACGAATGGGTTGACGAATTAGCGGAAATGCAAAGAACTTTGTGGGGCGTGGCTAAAGAGGTGGAATCGAAAAGAAAATCACAGACAAGGAAAATGCGTGACGAACGGGCACAAATACCGAAATGGATGTTGGACTAGAAGTCTTGTTGCGAAATAATGTTAGAATCGGTAGATGTAAAATGCAAAACAGATGGCAAGACGGTAGGTGGGAAGTTATACAAGTGTTAGACCCGAAGATAGGTTTGTACAGGATCAGAATGAGCGATGGGGATGGGACAGAAAGGGTTGAGAATAGAGTAAACCTAAAGAGCGCGCCGGATCTAAAACCACTAGGTGTGCGAACTGCGTCGCCAGCCGATACGTGTCCGATCGCCTCTCCAAGGAAGCTGAGGGATAGAGTTAATAGACGCCAGTGATGATGTCAGTATTGTGCGTTCTGCAGTTGATCGTGCGTGAGAAGAATATTTCTGATTGGGTGCCAAGACCTTCTTTACGTGAATGATATAATGCGAAGGATATCAAACGCGATATGACGAGTAACTGGGCGCGTGAACCAATTATAGGGGCCGTGAAGTAAAGGAATGAAAGGTTAAGATGAGTAGCGAATAATTGAGAGAGGAAGATAAGAGATAAAAAAAAAAAATTATCATAGGTCAAAGCGTATAAAAGTCGGAG